CTCTCTCTCTCTCTCTCTCTCTCTCTCTCTCTCTCTCTCTCTCTCTCTCTCTCTCTCTGTGTCTCTGTGTGTGTGTGTGTGTGTGTGTGTGTGCTTGCAGCGTGTTGTTGATGCTCTGCATATCTGCTTGGAGATGGATCGGCTGAAAAAAGAAGGAAGCCCTGGTGAGCTCAGGGGTTCGTTCAGGAAGTCCTTCAGCTTTCCAAAGAACAGAGGAAGCTCAGCTTTTGAAGGGTATGAACATCAGTCTACACCTTCCATTGCCGACGAGCTGTTCCCGGGATATTCGTTTGGAGATCCTGAGATTGGGGTACTCAAGGATTGGGCCGGGAGGTGGTTTTTGGAGTACATTCTTCCGCGCCGGCTGGGAGGCAGTGGTGAGGAAGATATCCAAAGAGACTTGCGATCAGATGATACATCAGGCACTGTTAAGAGGGAAGGAACGAGCTCTCCAAAGAATGCAGCGGGCTCGACTGTGAAAACTTCTGAAGATTTTGGAAGAACCAATGATGCAAAACAGGAGGCACAGGATGAGGGAATGGTGGAAGATAAAGTTGGCAAAATTCCTTGTCCTTCGGCAGAGGTGGACGATGGACTTTGGGGAACTGTGAAGATGGACATGGAGGAGATAGGTGACAAGGATGACAAGGCAGTCAACACGAAGCTGCCACAGCCATGTGAGGAGAGAGCTCTTGAGGAGGCAAGCTTTGCCATTGAGAAGCTACGACCGAAATCGGACACTGTTGATCATGTATCACGAGCAGAAGTAATGCGTGCAAAACAGCAATATGCAGCTCCTGTGGAGGCAGAGGAGGAAGAAGATGAGCACGAGCGCAGCAAAAAGATAGAGATGGTGCGTGGGATGTTGGAGAGAGGGGAGCGGATGGATGATAGCAAGGCAGCTAGCACAGGCACAGGCACCGAAACAACGACAAGAACACTGCAGGGGCATGAGGTAAGGGCTCGAGAGATCTCATCGCCAGAGGTAGCAGAGGGAGTGTCTGGGGTAGAAAAAGCCGCCCTGGCTGTCGAGAAGGAACACAATGAGGAAGCCTCAGGAAGGGTTGAGAAGGGCATACATACCGCTGAGGAGGAAGAAGATTATAAGGATGATGCAGCAGCAAGAGATTCTTCAGATGAGTCGGATGACGAGGGACTTGAACATGAGACTGGCCGCCGAGAATCTTTGGTCGTCGAAGTCAAAGAGGTGACCCTGGGACGGAGAGAAAAGATAACCTTGTCGGAACAACCTGCAAATGAAATGCCCCTTCCTGTGGAGGAGGCCCAAAAGAGTGGTGTTGAAAACATGGGTGTTAGCAGCAAACCTGTGGCTGATGATGATGGGTTTGGGCAGGAGATTGGGGATGAAGAAGCAGGTATGGTGGGTAGGCAAAGAGTGGCCAATGATGACGGCTCCGAGAAGGAGGATGAGTCATCTGATGATGATGACACCGAGTTGCAGTCATTGGTGGAACGACTGGAGCTGGACGAGTCAGAGAACGAGGACGATTCTGCGGAGGTTCAACAGCGGGTGGAGAGACTGATGATGAGTGTCCGCGGCTCCATGAACTTCGAGGAAAATGATCTCATTGAAGAGGACTTCGACGAGGAGGCAAATGTGGAAAGAGGAGGAACTGAAGAGGGCTCAAGTGCGGTTGAGCATGATACAGAAGAAATGTGGAATGATAGAAACAGAGAACTGGTTGAGGGAGAAGAGATACAAGGGGAGGAAAGGGAAGCGGAGCTGGTAGAGGATGTGGCAGAGTACGAGGGAGAGGGAGAAATGAATATCGGAATGGGTGCTGTCAGAGACCAGAGATGCAAAGGGGAAGATGGACGTCCCACACAACAAGACGAGGCCAGCAATGTCATTTCAGGGACAGAATTACAGAATGCGGATGAAGAGGAGGTAGAGGGATCTTTGGTAGCAGCATCAGGAGATAGGCATGCACTTGCTGAAGAGGAGACTGAAGTTTTAGCAGAGAGGGAGATGTCGGAGAGTGTGGAGGCAACGGATGTGAAAACAAAGCAGGAGGAGCCAAGGCGCACACAGCTGCCTTTGATGGTACAGCGGGCTAATGCAATTAATGCGATCATCGAGGAACAGCGGCTACGGATGAGCCCAACACGTGAGGAGTTTGACCGTAGATACGGAAGGCAGCTGCTTGATGGACTCGGAAGAACAGGAAGTACAGGTGAGGATGGCTTGTTTGGTAGGCCACGCCCCATGGCATCAATTGGGTTTGGCTATCGCCTAGGATTCACTCTTGATGTGAAGATCAAGAAACCAACTATCAAGAAAGGGGAAGAGGAGAAGAGTGAGGCAGAGACAGATGTTTCTGAGACTGGAGATATGCCAGAGGATGTTTTTGACGAAGACAGCAGCAAGCTTCCCATGTCTCCTTTGCCACAGGAGACTGAGGTGGAGGATGACGAGGAGAGTTCGGATGGTGAAGACATGAGATCTGAGTTCTATGATGATGAATCGGTGCAGGAGGAGTCGGCATGGGGAGCAGCAGGGGGAAGGGGACATGATCGAGGCTTCTCCGTAGGGAGCCCATTCGAGGGGTTGTACATAGATCAATTGCAGGAGATGGAGGTGGAGAACAGGACAAGGGGAGCTGCCGGCACGGACTTTGGACATCTACAGGTGGAGATTGACAGAAGTGGGCCTCTTGAGCACCGACTTATGATGCCACTGAAGTTCCCTGTGAATCAAATTGACAGACTCAAGAATGACTGGAATGCGCCCTCTCCTGGAGCACGTGAGAAATCAGGTGTCAAGTTTGGTGTTGGTGGCTTTTATGGTATGTGGGGTGGTGGAGTCGATGCGGATATGAAAGAGAGTGAGTCGTCCAGCAATCGCTCATCCATTGGCGACGGCAATGCTGCACATGTGCCGGAGCACAAGCGGGCAAACAGCTTCTCCAGTGAAGGAAGCTCTACGAGTGGTGACCCTGAAGATGGAGGAACTGGGGTGGTTGGAGATGGCAGAGGTTTGCCTCAGGCAAATGAGCCACACACATTCATTTTCAGACCAGGGGATAGAGGGTATGGACGAGAGCCAGAGCGTGGACCCATGGACACGAGTATGCTTCAGAGTTGGGCTGACGAGGATGAACAACAACATCATTCATTAAGATCTTCTCCTGGCTTTGGCGTTGACAGGGATTCATTTGCCAAAGCTGACGAGGAAAGACAAGGCTCGGGCCGGAGGCCTGTGTTTGAACGGGGACGATCCAGTCTTTTACGAAGGTGGCTTGGTTGATCAATTGAGTATAGGAAGATGCGGAGAGATTCTTTTTCATTTTGTGTTTCCGCGGAGGGGACAGGGAGGAGGAGGTTACCAACGATATCAGAACTGTGTTGTGTGTAGAGCATCTTGTTCGAGGAAGGAAAGAAGGCTGTGCCATTGCATCTGGCCTATTGGAACTTCGGTTGCTCAGCCATCTGTGTGCTGCAAAGAGCGCATGGGCCTCTTTGGGCAGGGCAAAGGCGGTTTCTCTTCTCCCTTACACTGGAATTCTGGCACCCATCTCATGCATCTGAGCTTGTTACAGCTTTATGTGTGTTGTGGGTCGATTTGAGAGAGAGGAGGAGAAGAGGGGGGAGGGAGGGGGAGGGGGGGCGGAGAGTGAGAGAAAGTGAGATAGATAGATAGATAGATAGAGAGAGAGAGAGAGAGAGAGAGAGAGAGAGAGAGAGAGAGAGAGAGAGAAAGTGAGAGAGAGAGAGAGAGAGAGAGAGAGAGAGAGAGAGAGAGAGAGAGAGAGAGAGAGAGAGAGAGAGAGAGAAGGGGAGGGGGGAGGAAATGAGAGAGGACAATGTTGAGAGGACTCAGATATGGTTTCCTGTATTTGTATTCCTCGGTAGTACTCGTAGCAATTCTTTTAGGGAGTAGTTCTAGATACATTTTTATTTAAAGACATTTTCCTGTTCGTAAATGGATTCTTTAATTTCTTTTCTATTTTCCAGTTTGTAGCCATTAGAGGAATGAGTTTGATCAGCCAGCACTAAAGGGATCTTGTATTTCTAGGGGTGCCCTGCATGAAGGGCTTTGCCTTCCGGTTAAGGCATAAAGATACACATTTGGTTGGCATATTACTACAGTCCCCAGTTACTTTCCATGCTGCCTGCCTTTGTTGCTGTTCGTCCTAACTTTTCTATTATAAGTTCTACCGACCGTGTTAATCGTTGAAATTCTTTGTCACATTACAAAATGGCTGGTCTGTTTACCTTACACATGACCGTGCTCACGCACTCTGGAGTCTGGATCAATCTCCATCTTCTCCTCCTATGCCCGCCATTAGTTTTCTTTCTCTCTTCTGCATTGCTCTCTGAGTGTCCATCTCGAGTAAATGCGGCTGTGAATGTGTTCAAGTCGCAGCAGGTGTTCATGCTTCAAATGTGCCCGAAGTTCCCCCGAACGCTTTTCCGTGTTTCTTATTCTTTTCAATGGCTCTTTTGTTCTCAACCCTTTCCATCCAACTCTTTGAAGCCTGAGAACAGCAACCGTTCTTTAAGTTCTCAGAAGAGTCAGAAGGCCTTTTCCATCTTCAGCCCGCGGGCGGCACTCTTTTTCTCCATTTTCAGATTTGTTGTGATGAGACTTACTGATTCGGAGATTCATTTTGGATGTAATATAAAACCTCCCTCGCTCCCGGAATGGATGAGATTGTCTTCTCCTAATAATATGTATAGTTGCACATGCAGCTTTATACAGCTTGCATTGTAGCAAAATAAATGTTGCGGCCTTGTGGGAGGTTTGAAGGAGAGAAGAAGGCACTACCAGATCAGCACCTTCTTACAGCTCTCTCCAAAAGTTCATCACGACTGGGAAAACTGCAGTCCTCCCTCTCTCCCTCCATTTCAATTCCTCTCCCCCCGATCCACCCCCCCATCCCCTTCCCCCCCCA